CTCTGTGGCTCATACCCCGGTCCTCTTTGTGGTTCATAAGGTGGTGCACCAGGACCTGGTCCTTTATGAAGACCATAACCTGGAACCGCTGGTCCCGGTCCATAACCAGCACCCCCAACACCATAGCCTGATTCATAAGTGTGTTGTCCTACAGGATTATGTCCAGAAGCTTCTTTCTCGTTATACCCAGCAGCATAGGGCCCACCTGCAATGTAATTTGGAAGAAAAAAATACAATCAACAAATTGAAAAGCAGAAATATTATATCACAAATGACGTACCCGCCCTCCTGTCGTTTTCAGCATGTTTCTTTAATTCAGCTCGAAGCTTTTCCACCTCGGTTGCCATTGTCATATAGTTCTTTTCCATCACCTGAAGAGACTCTAAATGATCATTGTAAACTTTCTTCTCATACTCATAAGTTGCCCTACAATGCTGATACTCTTGTCTAAGCATGTCGAGTTCTGACATCAAAGCAGGAACCTGTTGCAAATCCATGTGAGCTCTCTGATGATCTTCTGTTAGTTTCTGTACTCTTGTAACGAGTTCTTCCCTAGCTGAAACCAAGCTCTGTGCCTCTGTTCGTGCCTGATGCAGTTCGTGTTTAAGTGGCTCTGCACCTTGGAGATCTGCTTCCATTTTCCCGATTTTGTCTAACATCCCCATTATTTGATGTTCTCTTTCTGATTTTACACCTCCTATGTGGTTATGTAACATTTGTAGCTCATGTTGTATGGCTGCAACATCATGCCTCAAGGTTCCATGAGTAGCAGCTAACCTCTGGTTTTCTGTTGCAAGTTTCTGCATTTCCATGTGCTGTGCAGCCAGCTTTTGTTCCATGATTTCTGGATGTGGTAACATATCATATGGAGGAAAACGACCATGTTGAGGATGGATTTCAGGAGGAATGGAATCATGATGTCCAATTCCAGGGCCAGGTAGTGGACGCCTTAAATGATGAGGAGGAGGAAGTCTACCTTTGCTTCCCATGGTGATAAATGGTAAAATAGATGAAACTGAGAGGAGACCAAAAGGAATAATCAGTATCAGTGCAGTAATTATCTACACTTCCATACAGAAGATCTTCCAGGAATCACATGTGCTTGCAAACAGGCTGATGATTAAGTCTCTTAACCATGTTTTAATTCATCAACATATATAACCTGATCGTTAATTAACTCCATTTTCGCGGTCTTCCTAAAACACAATCAACAACTCGTTTTCCTCCGAACTCAACAATTTACAGACTTTAACGGTATACTATAATTTGATATTATATGCACAATCTTAAATCCGTTGCAGATACGACTTTAGGGCGATAATGATATTGGAGATGAGAAATAAGTTTACACTGCTTCACTCGGTAACAAGAGGGCTTAAATACAAAATGGGGGAAATCGAATTTCTCAGAGAAGTCAAATTATGTTGAAAAACCACAGTTGGATTGAAACCCTAGAAGGAAGTGGAAATTACCTTTAGGTTAATTTAATCAAGACGATCCGTGAAGGAGCTACGAGGCCGATTTGATGGTGATGACCGACGATGCATAAATTTCATGCCCTAATCTTCAAACGTAGTTTTGATTTCCATGTACAGAAAAATCTGATTTTGCAAAAATGAAATTTGGGCCGTAGTTATCAAGGTTTCACGTGTACAGGAAGGTACAAACCAGTGAACCAAGGTTTCCGAAGTGGTCATTAGGCACAATTGTATAGTGTTCTGTTTGGCGTGTCAATATGTCAATTTAAATATGATCCATTTAAATATATAAATCACGGGTTGGCAGGTTTGGAACATAAATCCATATATGACCCGTCAACCTGTTTATTTATATTGGTTCACAGATTAGCGGGTTCGTACATCAGATTTGGGTTTGTAGGTCAAATTCCATAACTAATATTGACAATTAAACATAAATAAATTGTTGATAGTTGATGCAAATATATCCAAATTTTAGACAGTTAACTACTTAAATGTTAAACATTCAAATTAAAATTAAAAATACTGGTAAAACATGTTCAAATTAAAAATTAATACAAACATAGATAATACTTATTAAATATTAATATTTGATACATAAATACATTTAAAAATAAAAAATATATATCTTTTTAATTAAAAATATAAATGGGTTGGCGGGTCAACCCGTTTATTTTTTGAAAAACTCATATATGATCCGTTTAATAAACAGGTTGGCGGGTTGACGTGTTGGTAGGTTGAAAAACTCAACCCAAACTCATTTATTTCGTGTCGTGTTATGGGTCGTGTTGCGGGTCGTTTCGACAATTGTCAACCTTAGTTGTCACACCCATCCTACTGAAAAAATGTCGTCTCATGTGCATCAAGTCAGTTGCAACATCAACCCATCACCAACCCACTAAACATTGAAAATGGTTATCATTCCATAAATTTTTTTTTTTAATATATTTTTTTTAACATTATATTAAATAAAAAACAAAATACAAACCATAATTTAAATAAAAATCATAATTTAAATAAAAAAACCAAGTTTAAATAAAAAACATACATTACATTAAAATTAAAAACACATTACATTAATATAAAAAAACACAAACTAAAACTTAAAAAAACATTTTAAAAAAAAAATCTTAAATTACTTAAAACCATAAATATTAGAACCTAAATTTCATATTTGTACCGAACTTATCGTTGAATTTTAAGAAACGTCGTAAAAAATTTCGGGCGATATTCGGTTTGGGCTTTGTGTTTATGATTTGAAGATCGGTAAGAGCTATTTTTTCGTGACAAGCTTCCTTCGTTGCTTCGTATTTTTTTCTAGAAAAACTAGAGTTTTATCTATGGATATCGCGAGCTCGCTTTCGCTAGTTGTCGGTGCTTTCCGCTTGAAGACTCTCTTTCTCGCTTTGTCCCTTCCCGATGGTCGACGAAGTTGGACGTCTGGTGGGCCCTCCCCCTTGGTGGCGTCGAAGTCATCGTTAAGGTCGAGACCCATGTCCGACTCGGACGTTCTTGCCCTTTTGTTGGAACCGGTGGTAGATCCCGAATGCGCTATTTCCGGATATAGAACCCATTTTGGACCGTTACGACAAACTTCCCACGATTTTTAGTGGCCGAACGGTTTACCATTAGTGGTAATTTTGTATTCGTAGGCCGCGGTTGGTAAAATGTTGAAATCGTTGCTACCACTTTTATGCATGTTTTTAAGTTTGTCAAATATATCATTGAATTTGGTGCAAGTGGCTTATAAATCACATTATTTTGCATTGATCGGGTCGTATGTCCGCTCCGTTTTCTTTCCTAATAACGCGTGGAAATGATCTAAAATACGACACCAAAAACTTTGACCCGTTTGTGAGTTGCCGACATCCCCGTCTTTAGATATGAAAATCTAAGCTTTCGCTAAAGTTTCCTCCTCGTCTTCATTCCATGCGGTAATTCTTTTTTTTTCTTGGATCTTTTGTTTTTTTGACTTCAACGAGTTGGTTGTTGTGTTTCTTGGATCCGTTCATCATCGTCGTCATTGTCTAGATATATAGGTTGAGATTGAGATAATGGGACTTGAGATTGTTAAAATTGTTGAGGTGTAAAAGAGGGTTGTTGAAATTGTTGAGAAGATTGTTGTTGAAAGACTTGGAATTGGAGTTTATTGAATTGTTGTGGTTGTTGTTGATAGAAGGGTTTTTTTTTTTTTTTTTTTTTTTTTTTTGGGGGGGGGGGGGGTGGGTACCAAGTGGTAAATAGAGGTTGTTGTTTGATTTGAGAGGTTAACAGTTGCATGTACCTAACATTTGCATTTAGAGAGTTTGGGGTGTTTTGATTTGAATCCATGTAGAGAGAAAAAGAATATGAGAGAGATGTGTTTTTTGTAGATGGTAATAAAATGTAGAGAGTGTTTTTTTGAAATGTAAATTGTAAATAGAATAGTAGGTAGTTTATAGGTGAAGTTGAGTGTGTTTAAATTTTTTTTTTAAAAAAAAAAATTTGTTAAGCAGTCAAAAGTTCTTTCCCCGCAAAAATCCACCCATTAGAAAAAAGAAGCCTTCTCATTCGTCATCTCGTCCTATCTCTGGAGCCATGTCACGCGCACCCCATCGGACTTAGGGACGGTGTTCATGCGTGGGGAGGCGTGCCACCTCAGCCCAAGACGCGTGAAACTCCCCCTCATACCGGTTAGCCTAAAAGGTTGATAGGAGTGGGGGTTTCATTTCATTCTATTCTAATTCTAACAACTTTTATAAGGTCTAATGTTTTATGCTGTACTATCTGTGACACTCATCTTATATGGGTAAACTTAAAAAAATAAACTATAAAAGTCTAAATATTTGAGAATTTTAAATTTATAAGAAAATAAAAAAAAATAATGAATTATTATAATGGAAATATTTTTTATCTTTTAAAATTAAACAAATAATTTAAATAAATAGACAAAAAAAATAATAAGCTTTAACTTTGAGAATTTTGAACTCAAAAGGTAAGTTCATTAATTATATTGATATTCATTTATTACTATATTTATTGTAATTATTACATTAAAATATTATATGGAATTTAAAAAAAAAATAGAAAAACTTATAAAATAACATGTGGAAAAAAAAAAATAATTCAAAATAACCATAAAATGATATTTTGCAAACTAAATGAGAGTGTGACAAAAAAAAAAAAAAAATTCATTTATAAAGAAGGATTTTGGAAAAATGCTACGGTAGCATAAGTATAAGTAACTTTTGTCTTTGGTGTGATTTGACCAACTATGTTATTTTTTTGCACAATTAACCATTAATATTTTAGTATAGATGTCAATTACATCATTGTGACCGATTTTAGAAGGTTTCCTGATTTCACATCCTACCTGGCATCCGACGTGTATGGTAAGCTAATGGGAAACTGCCACGTTATGTCCACGTTGACTCCGCATCAACTCCTCTCTTATACAAAAAACATAACACTCGTATATGGAACACCCGTACCTTCAATATTTTCATTTTCGTGTAAGCTTCTCTCGAGAAAATATCCAAAGCAATGTCTCGATCCTCGATCTCTTCTTCCAGAAACCCACCCATCCAGATTGGTAACTTTAGGGAGTCAAAAGATCTGAAGACTTGTGGGTGTGAGAAGTCGGTGAAGGAACAAATGAGCAGGAAATATCACAACCCGGGAAGGCGGCTCTAGAACTGTCGCAACAGTTTGGTAAGCTCTCATGGTCTTGATTTCTTGTAGTCTTCAATAATCATACGTTTTGTAGCATTTATGATGTTTAGATAAGTGTAAGGAAACCCTAATAGTGTAATGTCATTGATTTTTATGAAAAATGTTGAAAGGAATTATGTGTTTGTGGGTTCCCTTTGTTTGTATCATTTATTTATTGTATATAACTCTAAGATCTCATATGATTTGACAATGGTGCATATTTTGGTGTACATTTAAGACAACATTAAAAAGTTATGATTACTTCTTCTGGAAAGACGATGAGCTGTTTGAGGGGTACTATAAGAACCTTATCAGAACATTGAAGCAACATGTAGATTCAAAGGAGAACTCTGCTGAACTGATAAACCTTAGGAAGAAGGTTGTGGAGTTGGAGTTTTTGCTTTCAACGGAAAAGTCAGTTGTTGACAAGCTTGAGAAGAAGGTAAAAAAGGAGAAGGATGTTGTTATAATGCTTAACAACAAATTGGAAGCTTCCATGCAACAAAATTCCATGTTGAAAGTTTTGATTGTGATGATCCTATTGGTTGTTGCACTTTAGTGATTTAAGTAGAAGGGAATATTGTAGGATGTTTTGGTATATGTAGTTGTCTTTTGGTCGTTGATTTAGTTGTCTTTTGTTGTTTATGTACCACTTTTGGAAACTGCAAAGACCCATGTTGGTTGTAGATCTCAACATTTAGCAGCTTATTTTGGAAACTGCAAGACCCATGTATATGGGCAATTTTGTAATTGTTACCTAATCTAAAGACAACTTCATTAGTGGATCAAGTATTTGTTTTTTTATATATGGACCACTATCTCTTTGTCAACTGTTGACCATATTGGTCATTTAAGTATACACATATAGTCTATTTTGGAAACTCCTTATATCAAACACATTGTCTATTTTATTCATTAAAGTATATACACGTAGAACCATATTGGTCATTATCAACCATGCAACATATATCTTGACATGTTTAAAAAATAACAATCAATTTTCATATTTTGTAATAGAGCATTAACTGCATAAAATACATCATTTAAATACCAAAATTGCCCATTGTAATTGCCATTTTTGTAATTGTATGTTACTGCATAAATTATACTAGTTGAAAACATAACAACTTTATATCATCAAAGTATCACAACATAACACAAGTAAAAGCATAAAAGATATTAACCCTAATCTATAGCAGTGCTTCCTCCTTTGAATTTCCTATAGCATTATCATCCCCAACTCTCTTGCCCAATTTCACCATTATGATTCTTTATGATTTTCTTTTCCTTATCCCCTTTAATATTTTAGAAATTGGTTTCACACAAATCCACTTTTGCTCTTGAATGTGTGCACTACCACCAGCTTCATCATCGTGACCATTAACACAACCATCTTGAGTTGGAGTGACTTACACATCAATTGGAGTGAGTTGCACCTCCTCATGTTCATGCTCTCGTGGTCCACCTTCATCAATTTCTCCATTAACACCACCATCTTTAGTTGGAATAACATGCATCTCAATTGGAGTGAGTTGCACCTCCTCCAGTTCTTGCCGTCTCGAGCCACCTTCGTTAACCTATAGGTAATGTTTCATTAACATTTTGTTATAGTTCATATTAAACTCCAATTAACATTAAAGATAATACTCGTACTCTTGCTTCACTGACACTTATTGTTGGGTTTTAGTTCAAAAATAGTTTCATAAACTTGAAAAATATGGCAACGGAAGACTTAATTTTTGAAATAACATAAACATTTTATACCCACCAAGGATCTTCTTGCAAGTTATAGAAATATTGAAAAAACAACCAAAGAAGAAGTAAAGAAATAACAGCCTTTGTATTTCTTTGGGTCCTCTCGAGAGGCTTGGAAGTTGATGAAGAATATGGAACCTTTAAGACGCCAACAATGACTCAACTTGATGTAGATGCTAGTCCAAAACTCTTAAACCCTTAAGCTTTAAGTTCATAACCAAAAAATACAGAACAACATGCATAATGAGCCTTCAGCCTGACTGGACCGCCTCGCAGGCCTTCAGTCTATCCGGACCGCTCTCCGAGACTTCGACACATATGGCCTCTCAGGGCCTACAACCTATCTGTGACCGCTCGTCGGGCATTTGGTATGACTACCATACCATTTCGGGTTTGTAGTCTATCCGGTCCGCCCTGGATATGTTGGCCTTTAGCACAAAGTAGGACCGCCTCAACACATCCCAAATCAAAACAAACATGTGTACATAACTATCATATGTTGGCATACATATATAGCAATCAAACCGATCTAACATATCATATAGCATAGCAACATCCTATAACCATGACACCGAACTAACTAGGTCACTAAGCATAAACATAACCTCATCCTAACTACCAGGATGCAAACCAATTAACATATCGTGCCATAACCGGATACAATCCATAAAGGGCCAGCCTTGGTGCCTTAGACCTTGTTGATATAGTGAGGATAACTCACCTCGCAAGTGGTGCTGAAATACTATAAATCTCTGACTGCTTTCTCGCCGGGAATCCCAAACTATTACACAATAAACCCAAGTTAATACCCAAAATAACCTTCTTGATTAAATGTACACACTACTCGTTAAGTCCAATCTCTTTATTAGGCCAAGGCCTAAATACCCAGTCCTTGACTTGAAAGTCCACATATAAAGCCCATGATCGGCCCAATTTACTTAATTGATCCCAACTTCCTAATTAGGCCTCACCCCATGATCCATTATCACTACCGGGCCCAAAATATATTATTTACAGAGTCCAGCAAATGCCCAATTCCATTTAGTCCATAAACAACCTAAAATCTGAAGCCCATTTGACAAAGGACCAACAGAGTATGTACGCGAGGCGTACTCCTCTGGTACGCGGTGCGTACTTGTCCAGATGTTAACTACCATCGGGGTGGTTGACCCAGTACGCTGGGCATACTAGATTTACGCCGGACATGCTCAACAGTTTGCCAAAACCTTATTAAGTACTTAATAGCTTAAACACTTAAGCCCAAACTTCAGATCTAGAAACCTAACATGCCTAGGATCTATAAAGCCATGAACATTATCACTTTAGACATCCATAATGTTCTTAATGATTGGTATTACTCCATTAAGACCTTATTTCTCCATGCATGGGACACATACAGCTAATGGGACCTAATTTTTATCACTCAAGGTCCCTTCAGGAGTCTAGAAGGACAACCCTTTTCGTCCAAATCACAACATGTACCACCTTATGGCTTTTTGGGACAAGAAATGCTTCTAATAAAGTAAAATGATGAGATATATGCATATATGCATAAAGTTTGAAACTTTATACCTTCTGGAGCTTATTGAGCACAAGCTAACTTCAGATCTACACGATTGATCTTCTTCTCCAACACTTTGATGCAATAGCTTCCTCTTAAAGCACTCAAGAACACACCAAATAAGCTTAAACACACAAAGGAAATGCTAGGGTTTGGGGAGGACAGATGTAATATGTGGAGGCAGAGGTAAGGTAGGTTTTGATGCTCATAATGTTGCTTATATAGGCCCCAAACCCTAAATATTAGGGTTTCACCTTGACATTAGTACGCCTAGCGTACTAAGGCGGACCTTAGTACACTTAGCGTACTCTTATGTACGTGCATCATACTCCCTCTTAGCCCAAGTTTGCAAACTTGGCCCTTAAACTTATCTTGGCTCTTCACTTCCAACCCCAAGGACTATAAATGACAAGGTAAAGATAGAAGAGGGTTCGTGAATACCTACCAAATCTGAGGATGTTACAATTCTCCCTCACTTGACTTAGACTTCATCCTCAAAGTCTATTGTGACAAAAATATCTATGTAATGCTCCCACATCTCGAACTCGGGCTCCCACGTCCACTCGGATCCCCTTCGATGCTCCCACTATACCTTCACCAAAGGTATTTCCTTGTTCCATATAACCTTCTTCTTCCACTATAGTATGGCCACAGGCCTCTCCATGTAATTCAGGCGCTCATCGACCTGAATATCATTCAATGACACCACCGCCTCCTGATCTATAATGCACTTTCGCAATTGCAAAACATGGAAAGTGTTGTGGATCCGGCTAAACTCCTCTGGTAGCTCTATCATGTATGCCACCTTGCCAACCTTGGCAACAATCCTGAACGGTCCATTGTAGTAGGGACCCAATTTCCCCCTCTTCCTGAAGCATATCACACCCTTCCATGGTTCGGGAGTACCATATCACCCACCTGGAACTCTAACTCAGATAGGTGTCTGTCGGCGTAACTCTTCTGCCGACTCTGAGCAGTCTGCAGCCGCTACTTAATCTGCTGAATCTTCTTGGTTGTTTGCAAGACTACCTCCTTCCGTCCCATCACCATGTGTCTGACCTCACCCCAACAAACTGGGGTGCGACATCTCTGCCCATACAACAGCTCGAAGGGCGGGGCGCCAATGCTGGAATGATAGATGTTGTTGTAGGAAAACTCTGCAAGGGGTAGGTGGGAATCCCAACTCCCACCGAAGTCAATGACATACGCCCTCAACATATCCTCGAGGATTTGGATGGTCCGCTCACACTAATCGTCGGTCTGTGGATGAAATGTTGTACTAAAATGCAGTCGTGTGCCCAGTTCCTTGTGGAACTTCTGCCAGAAACTAGAGGTAAACCTAACATATTGGTCGGAAACAATGGAGACCGGAACCCCATGGTGAGTGACGATCTCGCAAACATACACGTCGGCCAACTCCTCGGCCGAAGAACTCTCCCATATAGCCAAGAAATTGGCACTCTTGGTCAATCGATCTATGATGACCCGTATAACATCAAACTCCTTCTTCGTCCTCGGCAATTTGGTAATGAAACCCATTGTGATTTATTCCCATTTCCACATGGGAATCTCTAGGGATTGCAGCATACCATGTGGCCTCTGATGTCCGGCCTTGACCATCCTACAGGTCAAGCACCTATCGACGTACCAAGCGATTTCTCGCTTCATACATGGCCACCAGTAACTCAAACTTAGGTCTCTGTACATTTTGGTGGCCCCGAGGTGAATAGAGAAGTGAGACTTATGAGCCTCCTCCATGACTGTTTGTCTGACCACACTAGACATCGAAACCCATACCCGACCACATCGGGTCAATAGTCCCCGACTATCCTGCAAAAATTAGGTGTTCTCACTCCTGATCCTCTCCAACTTCCAATTCTCTGGTTGCATGCTCTCAACCTGAGCATCTCTGATCAAACTCACAAGTAGAGAATCCACCGCTATCCTCATACATATCGTTGGGGTAGAAGACCCAGCTGACTTGCGGCTCAAGGCGTCCGCTACCACATTCACTTTACCGGGGTGGTAAACGATCTCACAATCGTAGTCCTTGACTACATCCAGCCACCTGCGCTACCTCATGTTCAGGTTCGGCTAATCCATGATATGTCGCAAGCTATTGTGATCTGTGTATATGATACATTGGACCCCATATAGGTAATTTCTCCATATATTAAGAGCGAACACCACCGCTCCCAGCTCTAAATCATGTGTAGGGTATCTCGTCTCATGCGGCTTCTGAT